AATACCTCTTTCTTTCTGTTTCCTAAGAAAGGAACTTGGGGATTATGAATGATGGGGTATGTTTTAATGTCAGTACCTGATCTTGCTGTAGGAGAAAGGGTAGGCGTGGCTTCTCAACAGGATCTGGAGCTGTATGGTTGGTGATTGGCATTTCCTTACCTCTCTGCTTATTCCTCCTTACCCCCTTCCCCACCACCTAAGGAGAGGGTTTAAACTCCTGGACTACCGAGACTTTCATTTTCTGAGTGGTTCTTGATGGAATGGCTAAGAGAAGCTACAACTATAAAACTTTTTGAGACAGATCCTCCCTGAAGGAGTAGGGGTTGTGTGGTATTCTAGAAAGGACTGGAGGAGCTGAACCCCATTCTCAGCTGCTGGCTATTAACTGTATACTCTTGGTAAAGCATTCACCCATATGTATACCTGTCTCCTCATCTGTAAAGTGTGGATAATAATAGGTCTTATCACATAATATTGAGGTGAGGATGAAGCGAGTTGATATGTATAATTTGGCTGGTGTCTGGCATCTCTTAAGCTTTCCATAACTGGTCCTTATTGAATTGAATTTTTTTCAAGTTTATAGTATAGCAGACACTCGGCTGAGTGATTTCATACATGAAATTGTATTAAATTAGAGACTATAAATCACAAAAAGGTATAGTTATCTTCCCCATGTTATAAATAAGCTACATCTCAGAGAAGTGACTTGCTCAAGGTGACATAGGTAGAATTTGTATGTAAGTGTGGACTGATTCCTAGTTTGGGACTGTTTGGGAATAATAACAGGCCAAGTATTAGATCCTCTATTTTTCTATTCTCCCCCCAAATCAGGGAGGGAAGGCTCCAGCTCTGACTTTATTTCCCTCTCCTGGGATTGTCCTCCTCCCAGCTCATAGTTGCCTCCTAGTGGTCCCAAACCACACCACTCCCACCCCCTGGCTGCCTTGTTTTGTCTCATTTGGGGTCATTTTCTAGTAGAGAGAGGAAACTTAGAGGATGGCAAGTGTGTGATTTAGCAGAATCTTGGCAGTGGATGGACAAATAAAGGTGGGAGTACCAGCAAGAGTGACACATCTGAGTTGATGACGCATCTTGCAGTACCTACTACTTATTGACTATTTGCTATGCATCCTGATGTGTCCCAAATGTTTGAGAATCTTATCTTTAATCTCCACCATAACCTAGCCAGGTAAGGGCAATTGTTCCCTTTTCCAGATAAGAAGACCAAAGCTCAAATTGATAATGTGGCTTGCATAGAATCACACATCCAAAGTGATAGTTAGGATATGAACCTAGATTTGTCTCACTCATTTTTGACTTGTTGCTTACTGGTTTAGTATAGTTGATAAGAGGAACCTAACATATGTACAATAATGATGAGCCATACAAAACATTACACTATCATGGGCTAGACTGTTAGTACTAGATTACTAAGGATAAGCTCCTTGAAGAAGATGGCCCTTGGGCGGTACTTTGAAGTATAAGTAGGACTTAGATCAATAAAATGGGAGGGCTTTTAAGGCAGTGGGAACAATCAGTATTAACTAAAATTGGGTAAGAGCTACCAGTTCCTGTTCTAAGGATTTAACATGCATTGTCTCAGGTGATCTTTATAAACCTATTAATTAGCTACTGTTATCCCGTTTACTGCATGGAAAAGCTAAAAATGTTGGAACTGAGATTCAAACCATGGTAGTTCAACTCTAGAGCTTGTGCTAGATTCTAGTGCAAAACCAAATGCAAAGGCACAAAACTGGTTGTGGGCTGGGGTGTGATTAGTGTGGAGACATTGGGCTGGGTCTGTAAAAATAGTTTATAGAAGACTTTAAAGGTCCCATTTAGCTTATAGCTGGACAGGGTAAGAAATGGGGAACTGGTGAAGAGTCTGGACTAGGAGAGTGCCGCAATTCAATTGGTGTTTGACAAGATCTGATCTGAAATTAGTAACTGGGAGTAGAATTGCTGGGTCACATGGAAGCTCCATTTTTAGTAGTTTGAGGAGCCTCCACACAGCTTTCCATAGTGATTGTACCAGTTTGCATTCCCACCAGCAGTGTAGGACAGTTCCTTCTTCTCCACAACCTTGCCAACATTTGTTGTTGCTAGTTTTTTTTTTTTTTTTAATATGCCATTCTTACTGGTGTGAAGTGGTATCTCATTGTGGTTTTGATTCTCATTTCCCAGATTATGAGGGATGTTGAACATCTGCATTTCCTCTTCAGAAAAGTGTCCTTTTATATCTTCTGCCCATTTTTTTGACTGGACAATTTTTTGTTGAATCATGTGAGTTCTTTACCCAAAGGACACAAAAACATTCATTTAAAAGGATACCTGCACCCCTATGTTTTTTGCAACACTATTTACAAAAGGTAAGATATGGAGACAAACAAAATGCCCAAAAATACATGACTGGATCCAGAAGATGTGGTACATATACACAATGGAATAGTATTCAATAACCAAAAAACATAAACTCATGCTATTCGAAGCAACATGGGTGGAGCTAGAAGGGATTATGCTCAGTGAAATAAACCAGAAAGAAAAAGAAATATATCTCATGGTTTCACTTATATGAGGAATATAGGGGAACCAAATAAGGGTTCGTGGAGGGGGGACAGAATAATAATGAACAATAACAAAAAAAACAAAATTAACAGGCAATTATAAATCAGAGACATTCTGCAGGAGAAGGGGAGGGAAAGAGATAAAAATGATTCATAGTTAATTGTTGTTGGGAGTTCTATATTAAAAATAATAAAATAAAAAAATGAAATCAGTGATGGGGTGTGAGAAAAGGGGCAAATGATGGGCAGACTGTTCTAAGGACCTAGAATCGAGCCAGAGATACTGATGGCAGTTTCCAAGTAGGAGAAATGCAAGTATGGGGAAAAGTCTCAGTGAGGGGACATCAAAGGAGCCTCAATGGGGCTGTGAGCGGGATTGGATGTTTGGGGAGAAGATGATAATGTGGCTGACCATACGCTACCAACCCAGGACTGAACTTCAGAAACCCTGTGTGTGGAAGAAAGACCCAAAGTGGTAGTAGTTAGTGCTACTTTGAGATGCTTTATACTTGGTTGTTGATGGATGACTACCCAGTAATTGCAGCTGGAAATGTTTCTAGCTTCATGGCTTTAGGCAAGACCCTGAAGCAGACAACCCCCACCCCAGGGCCTGCCTTCAGCCTCCCTGTTGAGTATTTGGACACTCGTAAAATAACAATGTGGCTTGAAGCGGTGGCCTCACCTGGCTTTCTTCCCCATCTATCTTAGTCACTGCTGCTGACCTATGGCTCTGGTTCCTGGCCTTTGACAAGCAACTTCCCCTGTCCTTCCTCTTACACCTCCTTGTCTGTGTCTGGCTTGTTATCACACAACCTTGGTTTTCCTCAGCAATGCCATTCTCATAACTACCTTTGTAGGTTTTAGCCCTCTGGAGCCTTGCACTGCTGGGATATTCTGTGCTTCCGCTGGGGTGAGGGACATTCCCAGTACGGTGAAATTCAGCTTGTCTGTCCACCACTGCTCTTGGAAGGCATAGGGCTGATTTATCCCAGCATATGACACACTTGTTGAAAACAGGAACCCTTACCTTGGTCAGCTCTGTAACCTTGGTGTCTAGTATAGAGCCTTCTGTAGTAAATAGACAGATGCATTAGTCAGTAAGTTACCATCTTTTCCCTCTCTATTGTCTCCTTATTTATTGTCTGTTTCTTTCTCCTTGCTATTCATCTCCTTGTCATCCCCTTTTCTCCTATGTATTAATTTTTCTCAGCGTTTTCTTCCTTCATGACCTTTGTTTTTATCTGTATCATCATTTCCTCTTATTGTGACCATCTATCTGGCTCTTCCATCATCTATCTCTCTTTCCTTATTCTCTCTCTCGCTACCTCCTCCTTCAGTCCCCCTGACTTTCCCTCTCTCCCTCTTCCCTCCCTTTCTTCTCTTTCTCCCCTTCTTTCTCTTATTCTCTCCCCAAATCCCCCCCCCCATTTTCTCTCATCATTCTTCTCTTTATTTGGCACTACCCATGCGCCATGCATGCCACTTCCTATAACATACTTTCCCACTTGCAAGGGTGGCATCTAGTCATATGAGGTATACCAGTGACAAGGATGGTCCTTTATAAGCCCATCAGTGCAAGAGTTGTGATTCCAGCTTCCAGCACCATACAGACCCTTCCTTACGCACAAGGCCCTGGGCTCAGAACTGTTTCCATTGAATCACCCCTTCTGCTGAGCAGCCAGTCTCCTCTGTCAGCCTAGCTGTGTCATTTACCACATTGTTCATTTTATTGGCCATAGTTGAGGCTCTTTGCTGACACATTGCCTACAAGCTTTGGTGTCTCTATGCCTCTCTTATCCTTCACTCTCTCAGTGCCTTTACCATACTTTATTTGAATTAGCTCTGTCTCTCCCACTGATCTGTAAACCCTCAAGGGCAAAGATTATATTTAACTGATCTCTCTATCCCCAGAGCAACACACAGATGTTTATTCTGTAAATATATAACAAATGCTTATCAAATGAATGAGCAAAAATTAGAGAATTTACAGTCTACTGTTGCATTGTTTGAACATCTTAATCTCTTAATCACCTTTTTTTTTCCTTCCTTAGATAAAAATTAGAATATTGGCAGGTTGAGTTTTTTCTCAGAGAAAATTTAGGATATGTTTGTGTTCATTGGACAGTGGCTCTTATTTATTGCACAGATGTTTATTGAGCATTTTCTGTGTGGCTGTCACGATTGTATGTGTCTGGAGTACATCCATGAGCAAAACAGCCCTGTGATGCCAACAGCCCATATCCCCAGGTATCACTCTTGGGATAAAGGATAGTCAAGTCATGAGAACTTAGGAGGGCTGTGAAGATTCCCACACCAGCTCCTTGCAAGATGTTCTATTTAATTTAAGGGAAAGCGGGGGTGGAGGCGGAAGCTGCCTTGGGAAGTGATTTCAACTCTGGTTCCTTAAGCTGATTTCCTGTCCCTTTCTTGCTGTAGGAGAAACGCCCCTGTCAGTAGGCCGCACTCATGGCATGTGGCCAAACTGCTGGAGGGATGCCCTGAAGTGGCTACCACCATGCATTTCCCTTCTGAAGCCTTCAGCTTGTCCTGGCATTCTGGCTGCAACACAAGGTAAGTCTAGAACCACCCCCTCATATGGGGTCTAGGCTAGACCTCGTCACTCCTCCTCTGGTGCAGTCTCTGTTGGACGTTCTAGAGCCCAGAACAGTATCGTGGGAAATGGAGGGAGAGGCTGGAGTACCTGGGTTCTAATCCTAGTTTTCAGCTAACTCACTGACTTTGGGCCAGCCCCTTTCCTTCTGGAAAATGTTGCATTAAAATACTTCTCCCACTGGCTGCCAAGAGACCACATGCTCCTGTTCTTCAGCTTGTTGCACTGGTTGCACCTTTGCCGTCTGTTTTCCTGATTCTCCTCATCCCCCTGGTTTCTTAATGCAGCAAGACTCCAGGGGCCTGCTCAGTTCTTCTCTCTGTGGTGATCTATGGAGAATACTCTCATCCAGTGTTCACCCACTTTGTCACAGAGCTAGACCCACCTTGCAAAGTTTTAGTACCTGATAGATGCTGCTCTCAGTTGCTGTTTTCATTGTGATTGTTAGCAACACCCTCCTTACCACTAGCAGTGAGACAACAGTGGTACCTGTATCCTCATACCTCCCTCATCCCCAGAGCAAAGCCAAACCAGGGAAACCAAGGAGAAAACAAAGATCAGACACAAACTGGACTTTCAAGTACCATTTCCCAAACACAAAGCCAAACTGAGCCAAGTCATGCCAGTAACTCCCTCTGATTAGAACACCAGAGGTTGTAAGCTGGTTTCAGAAAGGCCACAGTTCAGAAGCCAGAGCTGAGCACTGACAGGAGCTGTGAGGTCAGTCCCCCTAATTATTGTTCCCTGCCTAGCCCCTTAGCCATGCTGCTCATTTGACCTCTGGACTAGGAATCCATGGAGTCTTGGCAGGGGGTGGGCTACCCATCCCCCACCCTTCCTGCTGAAAACAACCACACCCCCACTCTGGCTCAGAATGTGTATTCTTTTAGAACAAAACTGCCTTTGCTTTTGCCCTGAACCCCTGGTTTCTGATGCCAAATAGTCTCTGCATGGGGGCAAAGTCAATCTTCTGCCTCCTTGTACTTCCTCGATAGAAATCACTTCTTGGAGAGCAGGTCTTGTTAGGAGGGAACAGGCAGCCAAGGCAGCAGGTTTGCTGACTGTGAGCTGAGCAGAAAACTTTTCTCCTTTTTCTGGGCCACTGTTTCAACATCAATAAATAAATAAATAATTACTACATTTCTTGAATTGAGTGATCCTCATGGCAGGTAGACACTGTTGTTCACGAAGGTCCTTATTCTGCAGGCTTTCTGTGGCAGCTTCTGGGATGGAGAGCTGGCTGGTTTTGAACAAGAAAATGCCCTTCTTGAAGGTCATGGAAATCATTTCCCTTTGTAAGGCTTGCCATAGGGCAGCGGGCTGTGTGGCCCTTGGACCAACAGTGCCAGGCTCACTCAGAAACTTGGTACAAGTAAAACTTCTCAGTGTCCACCTGGACCTAAAAATCTGGGAATGAGGCCAGTCACTTGGGCCTCAGGATCCATAGGATTCTGATGTACACTCAAATTGGAGAACCTCTGTTTTGCAACTGGCTGAAATTGAATCAGCCCTTTAGGACCCCTCCCTAATGCTAATAGTCTGTGATTGCCTCTCCTGGCAGAGAGCCACGTGCTGACTCCCCGGGACAGCAGAGAGGTTAGAAGCAGAGCTAGACTCACCCATGGCAGAGGGACTGCACATAACCCCCAGTGGCGTCCTCACACGTTTAGTCTTTTGGATCTCGCCATACCCTTCTTCCATAAGGCACCTTATCTCGTATTTCCCTATGTCACTGTGGCACCCTAGTGTCTGTGACTTCTCTGGTTTCCCTCCTCGCTCCGTCTTCCTTCCCTGTTCTTCTTCCTTCCTTGCTTTGTCTACCTCTCATCTGTGGCAAGGGTGCCTCTGGTTTATCCTGCCTTCTCCCATGACAGGGCCACCCAAGGTGGGAAGGGGATCTGGTAATTTAGCTAACTAACCAGTATGCCCTGTGTCTTGTAGTGACGTGTGTGTGCAGTGGTGTCCACTTTCCCGGCACTGCAGCACTGAGAAAAGCAGCTCCATTGGCAGCATGGAGAGCCTGGAGCAACCAGGCCAAGCCACCTATGAGGGCCACCTCTTGCCCATTGACCAGAACGTGTACCCCAACCAGCGTGACTCAGCCTACAGTTCCTTCTCTGCCAGCTCAAATGCCTCTGACTGTGCCCTTTCCCTCAGGCCAGAGGAGCCAGCCTCTGCAGACTGCATCATGCAAAGCCCAGGGCCAACTAAGGCCCCCAGTGGCCGGCCTAATGTGGCCGAGACTTCAGGAGGTAGCCAGCGCACCAGTGGGGGCCACCTGACTCCCGGCTCTGAGATGTCATCCTGCCCACAGGAAAGCCACCACTCGGGGCCTGCCAAGGCCACCAGGGGTCCACCACAACCTCCAGTGAGACGAGACAGCCTTCAAGCCTCCAGAGCCCAACTCCTCAATGGAGAGCAGCGTAGGACTTCTGAGCCTGCGGACTCATTGCAGCAGGAGAAGCCAAGCTTAGAGACTGTTCTATCCCCAAGGATCCCTAACCGGCTCTGCTGCCTCAGTGGGCAAGACAAAGTGACCAGTGAAGGCCATCAGAACTGTGAGCTCAGCCAGCCTCCTAAGTCCAGCCAGGAGGACTCTGAGCATCTAATGCTGGAGGCTTCAACCAAAGGTATTGGGTTCCCAAAAGCATATGACACAACTTCCAGCACAGATTCCAGCTCACTCAACAAGGCTCCAGCCAAGCTAGTGAAAGCTTCTTCCTTTGGAAGCCCTTCACACCTCACAGGACCCACGGGGCATCGCCACAGTGCCCCTGAACAGCTGCTGGCAGCCCACTTACAACGCATGCACCTTGAGACCAGGGATGGCAAGGGAATGGAGCCCCCAGCTGGGCAGGATGGACATGAGTGGACTCTGTCCCCTCTGCATAGCAGCCATATGGGGAAGAAAAGCCCATGTCCCCCTGCAAGGAGTGCCCAGGACCAGCCCAACAAAGAGAGAAAGAGCAGGCCAGTGGACGATAGACCTTTGAGTTCAGGGCACCTGAGTCCAGGCAGCTCCCCACATAGTAAAGTTGATGGACACCCTACAGAAAGAGGTTTTCTGGACCCAAACAGAACAAGCCGAGTAGGTAGCGAATTGGCCAGCCAGCAGCCCTCCACCTCTGACTCCCTTGTTCAACAAACCAGGAACTGTTCTTCAGTCATCAGAGTAGCTGGTGGCTCAGAAGCAACTGAAGAAGGGAATGATGAGCCCAAGGGGTATGGTCAGGTGGGTGGGAAGCGAAATGGAGGGACACGGGGCCGTTCAATCCACAACCGGCGGAAGAGTGAGCGTTTTGCTACCAATCTACGTAATGAAATTCAGAGGAGGAAGGCCCAGCTCCAGAAAAGCAAGAGTCCCTTGCTTTGTGACACTAAGGAGCCTGTGGAAGAAGCCGAGGAGCCACCAGAAAGTCCGCCACTCCCTGCCTCTAAATCATCTCTTCTATCTTCATATAAAAAACCACCTAGCCCCAGAGATAAAGCCTTCAACAAGAGCATGATACTCAGGGCTAGGTCTTCAGAGTGCCTCAGTCACACCCCTGAGATTCATGACCCTAGGACAGGCTTGGGGGGACAAGTAGGCCCTGCCCAGAGTCCTGGCCCGACCTCTTTGGGCCTGAACTCCTGGTGGAAATCTTCGGACCCACCCTCCTCAGACTCAGAGAAAACAGGTGTTCATGGTGGAGTCCGGGGTGGTCATTGGAGATGGTCTCCAGAGCACAACCTGCAGCCCCATGTGGCAGTAGCCACAGAAGGGCTTTCCAGCCTGGGTGGCAACAAGGAATTGACAGCTTCAACAGCCCAAGCTGGGGAAGAGGCCATCCTCTTGCCTTTTGAAGACAGACGAAAGTTCTTTGAAGAGAGTAGCAAATCTTTATCTACGTCTCACTTGCCAGGTTTAACCACTCACAAGACTTTTACCCAGAAACCAAAAGCCATGGGCCAAAACTTCCAGCCAATGAGCTCCAGCTATAGGGAAGTGAGGCGCCACCCCATGGATGAGTCGTATCATTCTACAGACCAACCATATCACGCTACAAGCCACTCATACCATTCCATGTCACCCCCTCAGTCAGAAACTCCCACTTACACAGAATGTTTTGCAAGCAAAGGTCTAGAGCAACCCATGTGTTGTAAGCCACTGCACTGTGGTGATTTTGATTACCACAGGATCTGCTCTTACTCCTGTAGTGTCCAGGGAGCTGTAGTCCATGACCCCTGCATTTATTGTTCTGGGGAAATCTGCCCTGCTTTGCGAAAGAGAAATATAATGCCAAACTGCTACAATTGTCGGTGCCACCACCATCAATGTATCCGGTGCTCAGCTTGTTATCATAATCCTCAACACAGTCCCCTCGAGGACAGCAGCTTGGCACCGGGCAACACTTGGAAACCCAGGAAGCCAGCAGTGCAGGTGAGGCCTTGGTTCTTACAATGGGCGAGCTTCATTATTCCCTTTGTGAGGAGAAAACGAGGTCAGTCTTTTCAAGATGTAAGTTATCGTTCTTTAAAAGTGTACAACCCTGCTCTACCTTGGGCAAAACATTTAGATACCAAAATTGCAGTTACCTCATCTTTAGGGTTAGATGAAAATAGACAGAACTGAAATGCATATCCTGTCTGTGTGATTGGTATCTAAGTGACCTTATGCAAATCATTCACCACTTAAATTTGCAGTTACATGATGTTTAATGGGGGGGGGCATTTTTACCTCATAAAATGGCCATTACTAAGAAAAGTCTTATCACCTCATCAGTAAAGTGGAAGAAAATAGTGGTTGGTTGCCTCATAGATTAGTTGTGAGAATAAAATTGAGATTTTTGTATGTAAAGTGCCAAACCCAGTACCTGACTGAAAATAATACTTATTCCCTTCTAATTCTGGTTAATTTTGGAGTTGCCATATTTCCCAATGTCTCCCAGGTTTTGCTTTCAGAGTTCTGATTTGTCCAGTTTTCTAAATGATAAATCCTCCCCACCTTTGTCTGAGAACTCAGGCCTAGATTGGCAGATGCTGCAACCTGGTTACAACCTACCATACTAATAGAGGCTTACCACCATCTCCCAGGGCTGTTTTAGGAGGACCCCTCACCCCATCTTTATCAGTTGACTGCCAGATTCCTTCCTCGTGGTTTCCCTAGTGTCACCTTCTGGCTGTTGCAGCCAAACCAGAAGTGAATTCTTGTGTGGAGTCTATGTTAAACAGGCAGAAGCTTCTGAGTGACTTAGTGTATAAAATCGCTCAACACATGTTGTCTGATTAAAGGAAACTTGAGTGTGGAAGCAGGCTACCCAAAAGAGTGCAAACTCCACCACGCCTTGCTTTCCTTTATGTGAAGCTCTAAAACAATTATTCTATGGAAAAAATTCAAGAGTAGTGGCTTATGGGAGGTGGTACCAAGACTGGTTAAGAAAGGGCCTGAGGAAATTTTATTGGGTGATGGATGACAGTGATCTGTATCTTGAAAAGAGTTAGGGTTACCAAAGTATAGACACATCAGAACTCCACAAAGGTAATATTTGTGCATTTCAGTGGAAGTAATTTTTGCCTAAAATACTGTACACAAATATTGAACTTTACTTAATGAGAGATATGCTGAAATGTTTGAAGTATGTTGGTATATACACCTTATTTTTTAAAAATCTCACCATACAAATGTTACATATATTTTGCTATATATGTTTCTAAGATTTCATGGTTTTGATACAAATATAAATACTATTGTTTTCTTAATGTTAAGCTAAAATTCTTTGTTATGGTTACACAGAAGTGCAATTGATTTACTTTTATTTTTTATATATCTATTTACATTATTGTTTATTTTATAACAGTGTTTACTCTCCCCACCTCCCATCACCATAGGCAGTTAACTTTATTCTTATATGTGCCTTCTATCCTGCAACCTTACCAATGTGATTTATTAGTTCGAGTAGCTATGTGGCAGATTTTTAGATTTTTTACATAGAACATTGTCTTTCTTTCCACTGTGTATGCTTTCCCAAGAGGATAGGAGGTCCTTATCTCACTGTTTGGAACCTCTAAAACAATACTTAGTATAGGTGGTAAGGATGGATAATTTTAGTAGAAGCAGTAAGAGCAGAGAGCTTTTTCCTGTCCATTAACTATTGGATTTGATATTCCCTTTAGGTTTTTGCAGATATTCCTGACCAGCCTGAAGAGGGTCTCCTATGTTCCTAGTTTACTATGAACTTTTATCAGGAATATTTCTTGATTTAATTGAGATAGTCCTCTAATTTTTCCCTTTTATTCTATTGATATGCTAAATTACATTGATTGGTTTTTGAAATAAGAACCAGCCTAACCTTGCCAGGATAAATCTCATCGGTCATGATATATTATCATTTTGATGCTACTAGATTGAATTCGATTATATTTCGTGAAGGTTTTTTTTGTCTCTGTTGGTCAAAGATTTCAGTTTGCACTTTCCTTGAAATATACTTATCTGGTTTTCATACTAAGTTGCTGGCTTTACAAATGAGTTGGGAGGCAGTCAGTCCCTTCTCTTCTATTTTTTAGCATGATTTTGTGTAGAATTGATATTATTTTTCCCATAAATGTCTGTAGAACTCATCATTGAAGTCATCTGGACCTGAGCTTTCTTTCTAGAAATAATTTTAATTACCAATTCTTGCAAATTCAATTTCTTTAATAGCTTTAGTCATTAAGATAATCTATTTCTTCTTGAATGAGCTTTGAGTTTGTCAATGAAATCTGTCTCCTTTAAGTTATCATTTTTTTTATATTTTTAATGAAGTACCACTGTTTTACAGCCTTGTTAATATTTAGGCTGTTTAAAATTCTGCCACTCTCCCTGCCCAGGTGCAGTCACCATAGCACTCCCCACCACCACAGCACCTATAGTCCTCTACCATAGTCCACTCTGCTCGCTCCCTGCCCCAGTCTCAGCCTTCTCTGCCCCTTCCGCTGCCTCAGATAGAGGCCTCAGGTCTATGGTTAGCTTTCAACAGTGAGTTTTAATGTTTCTCTTTGACTCTTTGTTCAGTCTTTCCATATTCTACGTATAAGTGACACCACCCAGTATTTATCTTTCTCCTTCTGACTTATGTCACTGAGCAGAATCCCTTCTAGTTCCATCCATGTTGCCACAAATGACATGAACTCATATTTTTTGATCACTGAGTAGCATCCTATTGTGTGTGTGTGTCATCTTGATCCAGTCATCTGTTTTGGGACACTTAGGTTGTTTCCATAGCTTGGCTATTATAAAGAGTGCAGCAGTTTAATGTGGATAAAGTTGTTTGTAATTTCCTTTAAAATGAATCAAAACCTTTAGATAGCTTGGTGGATAGGTAGAGTAGTCGACAGATATGCAATAAGGCAAATATAGTAAAATATTAAATTCACAATCTAGGTGGTAGATATGTAGGTGTTGATTATAAAATTGTTCAATTTATGTGTTTGAAGATATTAATAATAAGATGTTGAAAAAATGAGATAAAATATAAAATAACAGTTTAGGGTCACTGATGCTGGAACCAGACTGTCAGGGTCCAAATTCCTAAGTTTCCCCATCTAAAAAATAGGGGTAATAGCAGTATGTACTTTATAAGTTGGTTGTGAGGATTAAATGAACAGTGACTACAAGATAGTACTCACCTTACAAGTGTGAGTTATTATCTCTTAAAGTAAGGGGAGACAATATAGAAAAAAGACAGAAGTTGGGGTGAGGGTATACATGAGAGCTACAGACGTGTCAGCTCAGCAAGCCACTGTGTGAGAGAGGGAGGCACAGTGTGCAGGAGGGCTTGGCAGCAGCGTATGCCTGCTCCACTCCTGTGCTCTCTGTGGAGACACATGGGGCCCCCCAATGCATGTCACAAGACAAGACAGCCTTGCTAGGCCCCAGACCTTAAGACATGCAGTCTAGGGACCACTTCATGCCCATTTTATGCCCTGCCACCTGAACACCACATCCTCACCTCAGACAACCCACAAGATGGGTTTGGACACCCCAGCTCAGATAAAGAAGGTAGGTGGGGTGGTGGCTGCCTGAGCTAGAGCTGAGATCCTGTGCCTATGGCCCTTGGAAGCTGTGAGGACCAAAACCAGCATGCCGGCACAAACTCATACCCCTCATAGGTCGTTCCAGTTCGTTTTGCACAACATGGTAATAATAGTATCATTTAGCAGTTGTGAGATCATGGATGACAGGATCCCCTGTTTATAGCTGAGGGAGCTAAGGCAGAGTGAGGTCCTATCTCTAGAAAGTGACAAAGCCTGGAGTCAAACAACATCTTAATAACTAAAATGTTAGTGTCTGTTGTGACCTCATAGTTTTCTAGGTCCTTTATAGGTGTCAGCCATTTAGTCCTCAGAGAGTATCTGGCATTACCAACTACTGCTACATAGTTGGGGCAAATGAGATAAAGAAAAGTTGGGGTGTTTGCCTGAGGTCATATAGCAAGTGAAGGCAGGCTTGAGACTCGGGTCCATGTAATCTAGCTGCAGAGGCCAAGTGCTTAACTGTGCCAGAGTGGCTGTCTGTAAGCCCACTGCAAAACCCAGGCCCTCTCTGGTATGAAAGAGACTTTCCAGGAGAATAACTTACACTGGGGTAGCCAGTTCCCATCACAATCCCCACGTGCAGCAAGCTATGGAAATAACTGTCTCTTGGGTTCGAGAGTGCAGACGATTTACAGCAACCTAAATGAACCAGGTAAAAAGGTAAGGTGCTTCCGTGTCCTGGGAAGGAGGTTGGGATTTGCCACAGGGCTTTGTTTGGTTTGGCTACTGCTACTTACTGAGCACTTCCACAGGGCTAGACAGGGCTTGGGCAGGAAATCCTGGCCTCCATGGTGGCTGAGCAAGTAATAATGTCTTTCAGGCCAGAGACAGCTCAGGAGGGTGTCGAGGCAGAGGCTGAGAACACGTGGTGAGCACTTCTCTAACATACACAGGGCGAGCTCCGGCCCAGAGAGAGCAGGAGCTGGGAACGGAAGCTCATGTTATGTCTACTCGCTAACATCTAGCACCTCCTGTGTGCTGGGCATCGTAGTAGGCATTCTCTCTATGCCCTCTCTTCAGCCTCACTACTGTGACCTCAACAAGGGTAGATGGCACAAGCTTTATTTGCCAGATAGGAAACTGAGGTTCCGGATGGTAACACAATTTCTCTCCAGTGACTTAGCTAAAAAGTGTCTTAGCCCATGTGGCAGACATCATGTATTTTAGCCCCAAGAGGGAGGCCTACTGGAAAGATGGTAATAAAGCTTTGACTGTATCCAGTAAGTGCACTGAAGAAAGAGGGAACTTGGAAGATCGGTGATGTTTAGGAAAAAATGATGCATTTCCTTTGAGCTATGCTCCAAGTCACCAGTAGAGAGTTCTGGGGAATGTCAAAGGCAAGTTGGGTAAGCTTGAAGCTAGAATAGGAAGGTGGGGACATTTTTACAAATGTCACACATGACGTGGGCTAGAGTGAAACAAAAAGAGTTGTTGGGGCAAAGTCCTTAAGGGAAAAATGCTAGAGTAAAGAATCTTGTAAGATGGAGAACTTGCCAGAGATTCGCCTGCCTCCGCCCCCAGCCATGGATCTGGGAGGAGTACGAGGGGTGCTGCAGTCCATAGGGAGTGCTGGCATAGTCCTTTCCACCTGCTGCACCCCAGAGAATGTTGCCACAGCGGGAGCTTTAGGCCTCAGAATCCCCTCGAGGGCCGTCTTCCAAGAAGACGCTTTCTGTGTTGGAAGAAACAAGTGCAGTGAAGCAGGTTCATCTGGCAGAACAACAAAAGACCTCCTTTGCAAGAGCCAGAGCGGTCAGCAAACATGCTAAACTGGTTTTTACCGTGGTTTGGGAAGGAAGTGTTTCAGAGAGGGAAACAGTTTCTAGACCACACTGTCCAAGTCCCTGAGGCCCCTGCTCTGCATACCTTCAGCTGCCCCGCAGCCTTGTGGTAGAAAGGCAGACCTCCGGGGACACTTCTCTAGCCTGTGTGAAGAACTAGAAGGATCCAGCTTGGTGGCCTGGCTGAGGACAGACTTCTGACCTCTTCACATTTTTAAGGCCATCTAGATACCTGGCTGCTTCTGAGCTCCCTAACTTATCAGAATTTTGCTTTGCAGGAATTTCCTGGGGACAAATGGAAACCAATAACAGGAAACAGGAAGTCCAGCCAGTCAGGGAGGTAAGTGCCCACTCAGGGAGCTGGGGTGAGTTGGTGCCTCTGAAGCTTTTATAGAAATTGGTAAGGTCTTCTGTTTAGTTTCTTTTGAGGAAAGCGATCCGGTGTCTATACCAAGGGTTTGATGCCATAGCTGTAATCCAGCCTGGCTTCAGACAGCTGGGCGACAAACCAAATTGAGAACTAGGACATCTGGGGTATGTGTCATCAGGCAGTTGTGGGACACTGTGCCATTAGCTATCAGACCCGCGGCAGGCCTGCCCAGGCACAAAGACATGACCACTAGACCATGCCACATACCTAACTGAGAAGGCGTGAGCTAAGACTGCTTTCCCAGCAGCGCCTGCACAGGTAGACAGGGCAGAGAGCAGGTAAGATCGACCAGCACTGCTGTGCCCTTGTCTCAGAGCTGTTGGAGGTGCTTGTTTTTTGAGTTCTGCCACCTGCCTTTATCTAGAGCTTGTGCACAGTTTAAGGTTTACTCATTAAAAGCAAAGGAGCAGATGATGCTAATGGTGGGTTAAAAGAAGGCAGACAGTAAGGGCACTTTGACAAGTGGCACAATTTGCTGAGGCAAAAGGGGAAAGAGTTGCGTGAGCACAGCCACGAGGGATAAAAATGCCGAGAGTGGAGCATCTGCTCTAGTAGCGCAGGCCATGGAGCCCAGCACGCATGTGCCCGGGAGATGCGCTTGCCTGCCGCGGTGACTGTGAAGCAGCAGTTACCTTCTCTCGGCCTCTCCCTATCTGCCTGGCGGGAACCTCTTTCATGAAACAACCTGATATACTTTTGCAGTCACTCCTTCTCCGGGACATATTATGCAGAGGCCCCTGAATTGTGTTAATTTTTTAACTCAAACTCTAGGAATGAAGCAGGGGCAAAGAAGAAGCTGTGCCTCTGGGGGGCACCAAGGGAGAGGACCAGAATCAGGGCCTCCTGACCCCTTATGAGTCCACAGTTCTTTGGGGGGGGTCCCCATTAGTGTGTGTTTTGGTGGCATAGGCAGGAATAATGTGGGTTTCTTTTGACTTCAGAGTCTAGGAAACTTTCATTTTATTTCTGGTTGACAAGGGAAGAACCCAACATTTATTAATGATCTACTACACTTCAGGCACTGGGCAGGCTATTTTAACACCTACAACTTGTTTATTCTCCACCTCGGATGATTATACTGCCTATTTCCTAAATTAGGTTCACCAGGTTATATAACTAACCTGGGTTTACACAGCTAGTGAATGATGATAGGGTCAAGATAGGGACCCAGGTTTGTTTGGGTCCAAAGTTTATGCTTCTGTTAGGATCCCTAATAAAGCCCTCCACGGGGTGTCACTCAGAGGTCTAAAGCCCGGTGGGGGATACTGTGGGACACTGTGACTGGCCTTGACAACCCTACCTTGGACTGACTTGTAACATATCCTTGGAAAAATCATTTCAGTCTAGTGGGTCTGCTGAGTGCCCCATATCTGAATGGGACCTTTAAAAGAAGACCACACTTTAGTCAGAGACTTCATCTCTGTGGCACAGAGGAGTTGTTCAAGAGGCACTTGTCATTTGCTTGTCAAATGAAGAAACAGAACCTCCTCCACCATTGAGTGGGTGAAATGACTCTAATATTAAAATGCTAACTACCATTTCTTTAGAACAGTGCTCTGTTCTAGGCACCATTCAGAGCACTTCACCAAAACCTTAAGGGGTGGGTACTACTAGACACTCCATTTGATGTAGGGGAAATAGAAGTACACAGAGATAAATCTTCACCTTAAGTTTCAGAACTACTAATTGACTGGCCCAGGCAGCCTTTCACTATGGTGCTTCTCTGAAATGGTTCTTTCACCAATCAGCCAGTGAAATCAGAGGATTTCATTCAAAACCTAGTGGGCAGGCAGAGAATATTACAGAATGAACATCTGGAAGAATAATGCCTACACACTCACAGCATAAGCAAGGAAGTCTAACCCACACACAGTTAAATAACAGTAATAATAAATTGACATTCACAAAAGTAAGCTATGGGCCACAAGCTAAGTTACACATATTATGCAATTTTCTTTTAGATTTATTTTTTATGAATACAGAACTAGGGTACATTGCAGAGGTGCAGGGCTGGTGAGTGGATTCACCAGAGACATAGTGGGGAGCAGAACAGGCTGATTGACTAAGTACACTGCTGAGGGGAGCAGCGGGTGGGTCAGGAGAGGTCTGCGGGTCCATGTGGGTCAGCTCCTGGACTGGGGATCGAACTCGCACTGAAGCAGCTGCTAGCTTACAATGCTGCGCTTTAACCTGCTCATCACCAGGGTGGGCCCGTTATGTTATGTTGTACCCCGGGTGTCAGGTGGCATTGTTATAACTAGAGCAGTGGGTCTCAGGCTTGAGTGTACATTAGAAACACCTGGAGGGTTGGTCCAACCACATCCCCCAAAGACTGTGATTCAGTCGATGGGGAGCGGGGCACAAGACTGCATTTCTAACAATCTCCCTGGGTGATACTGAGGCAGGTGGTCTTTGGATCACTGCCTTTGAGAACCACTGACTCAGATAAAGAACCCAAGAACTACTAAAGATAAAAGCCAGGACTGAACCCAGCTTTTATATACTAAGGCGAGTTGTTACAAATGAAAAGTGTTAAATGCAAGATTTAAATAAGTGGTTGGCACATGGTTAGGAGCCATAAGGGGTGATAAATATTATTGTGCCCTCTTTGTATTCATTGGTGGGTAAGAAAAATGGAGGCTGGGAAAAGGCAGAAAAGGTCAAAGGGAAACTAAACAGACTGTGTTATAGGAATAATCCCCACTGGTTAAGAGTTCTGGCCTTTGAATCAGGCTGCCAGCATTCAAAGCCATATACCTTTTTTAATTAATTAATTATTTTATGCATAAAAAACTGTGGTACAGGCCGGAGGTGCAGGGGGTGAGAGGATTCACCAGAAAAGGGGGGGTGGGGGGGCAAACAGGCCAACTGAGGAAGTACACTGCTGAGGGGAGCAGCTGGCAGGTCAGGAGAGGTCTGCTGCGCCATGTGGATCATCTCCAGGGCTGGGAAGCGAACCTGTGCAGCAGTGGTGGGGAATGGTTTCATAGTACTGCGCTTTAACCTGCTGAGCCACCAGGGAGGCTCCTCAAATCCACATTTTCTTGTCTAGCTGTATGAGTTTAGCAAGCGGCTTCCTCCTACCCCACCTGTTTATCACCATTTCTTTCTCTTTCACCCGGACCCATCAGATGCCTCATTTGTAAAACAGAGTAGAAGAGTACCTACCTTCTGTGGTTGTTGTACAGGTTAAATGAGTTAATATATGGAAATTATTTAGAACAAAACCTAGTGTAAATGATGGTTATGATGATGAGAAGGAGGAGGGTAAGAAGAGCAAGAGGGCAGCAGCAGCAGCGACAGTAACAGTGATAGTAGAGAAAGAGAGTGAATGAAGTAGTAGGCTGGGCTACCAGGCCATATAAACTACAGAGGAACATGGGAGTGATAAAGGTTATTGGGCAGGTAAGTGACAAGATAAATATGGTATTTTAGGTGACTTGGCAATATTCGCAGTCTAGATAGTTTAAAGGAAGCCTAGTTAGGGACAGTGATTCAGGCATGGAAGAGTGTGGCCCCGGATGGGGAAAGTGGGGGTGCAATAGGAATGAAGCAGAAGGGATAGATGCATCTGTATGATATTGCAGGGAAGAGGGGGCTGTTTGTTCATTGTGTAAGCAAAATTATAGGAAATTAAAATCAGGAAAAAATAGCCTTATTCCTACCACTGTAACACCCTGATTGTTTTCATCTCTTTGCTTCATTTTATCTACAAGTGTAGAGATTTTGGGGGCACGGCTGTATTAACTATGTAGGTGTGATTCTGTGTATCCTGATTCTTTTGTTCCCACTAAACGTTACTTGGCAAACATTTTTTCATGTTGCCATACAGGCTTCTGCAATAGTTACAACATTTAATGGCTGCATAATATTTCAACGGCTTAATGTGCTCTAATCATATCCAAATTGTTGGATAATTAGATTGTTTTCAATTTCTTACTATTATAAAGTAATGCCGCAGAAAAATTTTAGTAGCTATAACCTTTTTCTCATTTTGAATTATCTCATTAAAACAATTATCTGGAGTTGGGATTACTAGCCAAAATAATATGAACATTCACATTGTTCTTGACAGATTTCACCAAACTGCTTTTCTAGGAGGCATGTTACACTGCTGTTAGGAATACATGAGGATAGCAAAATCCCCCTCCCCCAATTTTGTCATGAAGAGACATTTTTTTTATCTAATGTGACAGGGGAAAATGATAACTATTACAAATGAATTTGCTTGTTTTGATTGTTCTTGTTTGAATGTATCATGTGTGTAGTTCACATTTGAACTGCTTCTCATATGAATAGTCTGTTTAGATTTTTTGCTCATAGATGCACAACACCTTGGGGTAGGGGGAAGTAGAGAGAACTTGGTGACTGAAACTTGGGAAAGAAAGAAGTTAAAAGTAACTCTGAGCCCACAAGCACTTGGCGAAAGTCATGGATATAGCTGGGGATGTGAGCAGAGGAGCTGGTTTGGTGGAGAAATTTGAATTGGGACGGGCTGAACCTGGAGTTACTGAGGGAGACAGTGAATTATTTGGAGAAGGCTTGTGGTTCCTACTGTCAGAGGGCAGGGTGAGGAAGAGACAGCGAAGGAAAGTGAAGGGGCAACTGGTAGGAGAAGTAGTCAGCATACCCTCCCAGCAAGTAAGGACACAACTGTTACTGGTTTAGACAGTTGAGGATCACAACTGGCCACCAAGAGAGCAAACTAAGTAAAATGGTGGGCATAGAAACTAGGTGACATATGGTCTATAAGAGGGGAGCAAAAAGAAGAAATGGGGCTCTCCCTGGTGGCACAATGGGTTAAAGTACCACATTATGAAGCTTTCCAAAGCCACTGCAGCACAAGTTTGATCCCTGGCCAGGGAGCTGACCCACATGGCATGGCAGACCTATTTTGACCCACTGCTCCC